ATTTACTGCACATCTGCGACATACTAGACAACACAATCGTTTTATCCGGTTCCACTTTCATTCTAGGGGGCAGGTCAGCATGGATATATCCATTTCTCATGTATGAGTTGCCATTGGCAACGAGAATCAGTCCAGGCGCGTCGAGGGTTGTCATGCGTGTACATACGTTCTTAAGTTCCATCTACACATTTTCTTCTATGGTATCGATGAAGAGCAATGTTGAATATTTACTAAGGACAATAGTTATCAAATATTATCTACTATTATCTACTTATTTGTCAGTCCAAACACCGTTTATTAATTTACTATCAATACATGACCTTCGAGGTAATTACTACTGACTAGAAAAACCTTTGGCTTTGAAGCAAATACTAAGCATGATAGCATGATTGTATTTAAATTTTCCCTGTCTATATTTTGTTGATATGATAGGTTTTTTTAGGAAAGTATTTGCGACGTGTTACCATGAACAGATAATAAATTGTTATTAGTACAGTTGTCGCCAAATTTACCAGACTATTTAGCGAAATAACAAAGCCATCAATATATATATACTGTGTCTAGTGTTTTTTAGATAGACTATATTACAAGATGTCTCAATCACCGTGACACTGCCTACTAGTATATCTGAAAACACGGCTCTAGTTGTATTCACTGTAATCCTTGTAGCGTAAGTAGAAGAAACGTTCCCATGGTTACGATCCAATACTCAAACCAACAATTTGCGCTGCTGGGTACATGTACATGATTATGATTTGAACATATATATTGACGGGTTTTTCCGCACTATTACACTCCAATTAATCGCATATAAGTTTCCAGTATCTAGTGAGTATTGTGTATTACATCTCCACTACACTTTCAAGGACGAATTAAATACGCATTTCCAGTGATGAGTTTTTAAAATGATGGCTATTTGATTATATTTCAATTGTTGAAGTCCGACGGTCGCGAGGCAGCTGGCGCATTTAACTTATTTTCAAATTACGATTGTGACAAAATGGCTACAAATTGTATATGTTTTAAGAATCCTTAGCATTCAAGCATTTCATAAATGTGTTTTTAAAGCGAGGGAGTCGTCATCTGCGCATGCGGCAGACGGCTATAGCGTGTCGTTATTTACAAACAAACGTCTACCCATGAGCCTTTGCGTTTTAAGCGTGCGTTGTCATCGTCGCTTGGGACTCGATTCCCGCACGTGCGCAGTTGACGACCCCTCCGCTTAAATAGAAGTTGAGTGTGCTGGTAAAGGGTGTCTACCGCGATTAATACACGTATTACTATGTTGGTACTAGCGTGTCAAACCCCTAAATCGTATCGCCATCACTTACCTCAAGTGAAAAACGAATTCCTCAAATAATTTGCCTATTCCATTACTCACACTGTCATTAAAGATCCGGTGTTGATTAAATGGTCACGTATATATACTGCCTTCTTTTCTAACACCTATTCCTTTTATGAAAGCAGAAAAGGGGTGGCCCATCGCTAACTCCTGGGGTGATGGAACAATTGCACAGCAAAACCTACAACAGAAAAAAAGTCTGTATGTCTAAAAAAAAATATTACAGCAAATTCATTAGAAAATATGACACAAAAATAAGTGAAATATTTTGTCAATTTGTTTCTGTCATCCAACCCACTCCCCTCGGTTCTAATGATACATCCATAACTCTTGGAAAACGTTGGTTCCAATGAGAGCATAATGAAGTTTACTAATCCGCGGCAAACAAACGTAAAATGCATTGGTTTCAGTAGAGGGCATATAATATGCAAATTACTAATCCCTGACGCAAACATTAACAATAGTATATAGAGAATAGTGTACTCACTCATTGCTTATTAGGTAGTATTTTGATAAGTATTAATGTGACAAGCACATATTACTTGTCTTTTTGATCGTGTTCAGCTCTAGTCTATTTCGAAGTTTTGTATATTATCTATTTGAAATTAAAGATTTGTCAATATACAAACAAGAGAGACTCTGGCTCATAATTCGAAAACTTATTTTTTTATGTGTTTCAATGAATTTCTGTGTCAGTGTGTGTTAGCTAAGTTCATGTTAAATTATGCTTGGAGTTGTGGATGAAATGGTTTAATTGGTCGTGAGAAGTTATTTGGCAGTCTGTCAATTCCCGTCGCGGCGTATTTCATATGCTGGCACACTTTTGTAACTTGTAGTACATTAATAAGTTGTCGCGTTTTTAATGAAAGTTTTCATATTCAACATTAGTATTGCTAAATTTGTTGTTACGTTCTGTTTTGTTTTGTTTTTGTGCGAAGGTCACAATTTAAATATAACATAACGCATGCCAAGACAATGATGATATCCAACTTGCTTGGAGTACGTGTTGCCAAAGATTTCCATTTCTCATATTATTCTTGTCCGCGCCATAAACAGTGTTACCATGACGACATTAGCAACGAGAATCATGGCGTGTATTATAACCTAATAAAGTTGGAAGAGAAGATAACGTATCCCATTTTATTGGGAAAATAAAAAAAAATATTCTGAGCTGATTTACTTTGTGCTCTAGCGAATTGTCTATGAAAACAAAAGTACAGATAAAATACAATCCATTGAAAAATTAGGCGAACGAGGGAAAGCGATTCTCTTTTCTAGGACAATACATTTTCACATTAAAAAATCTTATATTCAAGGAAGTTGTTTATTGTATTCTGCTGGGTCTGATTTAAAGCAATGTCATAATCTGTGTGTACTACTAAGATGCAATTACAACAAATAAACATGTTGTTCGTTGAAAAGAGAAGGAAATGCTACAGTTGTGTTAGCCAATGTGGGCAAGGTTTACATTCGGAATATATAAAATAAAATACGTAGATCTCAAAAACACATTCTTATTCTTATTCTTAGTGTAAATGTCTATACTAGTATTCGAAAGTGCAAATGTCTGTATTCTTAGTGTAAATATTTCAACACTGTATCCCCTTCAGTCAATTATACTATTTTATCTTTGTGCTTTGAACAGTTTACGATATACGGTTATTGAATATGAGCTGCCCTCTTGTGGACATAAAATCTAATCAAAAGGAAGTGCCCATTTATTGACGACAAAATTACGAATGTAAATAGCGCCCTCAGGTGGCGAGAAAGAAGGTGACAAGTGGTATATTGTGCGAATATCTGCACTTATTTTCAGAATTATGGATTTACGGGACAGAATATCGTTTGGAAATTAGTATAAAAAAGTGTCACACTGATATGAAAATGCGCATGTATTGTCCTAGGTTGAGAACCGAACAAAGTGGTGTTATCTGAAGAGGCATCATTAACGAACACTAGAGGGCAGTATATTCGTGAATATGCACGCGTGATATTGTGCTTGTGGGTATTCCAATCGACGTCACAAAAATAAAATAAACACCTTTTATATTTGTCAAAGGGCACGTGTTCTGTCATTAATCAATCTACGACTACTCATAAGAAAAAATAAAACTGTGTTGTTTGAACATGGAACATTTATTCTACAGTTTCAGAAAGTTTAATAAAGTTATACATTAATAGTATAAATAGATGCATCATGCAATCAATAGTCATATGTTGTTCAGTTCAAGTTAAGAGCACGGTTTGTCCACACTACACTCACGGTGACGGATATAATAACGTTCACACTATGCACACGTGTTTACACATAAACCATAGTGCCCATTTACATGATATCTCACAACTAAAAACAAACAAACGAAGTACAATAAACTAAAATGACAAAAACATTTTTGGATCTCAATGTCATAAGTAAGGAAGAGAAAAGAAATTACTGAAAAACAGAGAGAGAAGAAGACAAAGAGAGAAGTAACAAATAAATAAATAAATAAATAAATAAATAAATAAATAAATAAATAAATAAATAAATAAATAAATAAATAAATAAATAAATAAATAAATAAATAAATAAATAAATAAATAAATAAATAAATAAATAAATAAATAAATAAATAAATAAATAAATAAATAAATAAATAAATAAATAAATAAATAAATAAATAAATAAATAGTTCAGACTTAGTCATAAGTCATGTCATATGATTCTTCTATGTAATTAAAATTGACACATTTTACATTAAAAACTACAATAAATAGTAATAAACGACATTTCACAACAACACAATTTTTGACATAAATATAAACAATGATACATTAAGAAGAATTGAAGAAATGGCTAAACAAACATCTGTGAAATCATCAATATTTGCAATGCCGTGCCTGCATGCGGAGACGCTATTAATGGCTCAGCAATCATGATGCAATACTCGCCGCACGCGAATTTAAAACATAATTAAAAAAGAAAGATTGACATTTGTCATCATATGTTTGACAGAACCACAAATGTAGCCGATTCAACTACACTGGTGTTGGCCCAGCCGATTCCTCACTCTAAATGTATCGTTTCAATACCAGTTGGTCTTCGCTAAAATTCCACACACAAAATGATCTCAACGAGGCTTGGTTATATTGGCACCATATTAAGTAAAAAAAAATAAAATGCAAGAATGCCAACCCTTGCAAAAAACGATCGCCTTGATTTGTGTTGTCAGACCTTCACGTTTTCCGGTAAGTCATAGTGTTATGGAAAGGTATTAACGTCACTATGCTTATAATGAACGAGGATGAACACAGATGGCGAGGATGACGTCGTACTCAGACAGAAATTCGACGTTTTACTGAATTGTCTATTCAGAAAAGAAGTATATTGAACTTTCAAGATTCATTTTTTATAACAATAAATAATACAATATATAATGGTTTCCACTGTTGACTTTCCAATACCTCAACCGCCGTTACTATAGTTGACAAGTAAAAAAATGAACTACACATAACTGCGCATGCCCGACACAATTTGAAACTCGCGACATTTATTTGCGGAGGTAGATACCATTTCATAATCTTTCATTTCCTTGCCAGGACTGACAATGACGTCACATCGGCAATGACATCGGAATCAACACAGCGCCCAATCACATGTAATGACAACTTCGATAATTCAACGCTTTGAGATGACGGTTTTATACGGTTTTACCAAACGGAACATCCCCGACTCCGGCTCCAAATCCGGGTACGATTCCCCGGGTACTTCTTGAAAACGGAAGCTCTGTACGAGGCATCCAACGAAGAGAAACATCTGCATCTTCGCAAGCTGCTCACCCAAACACATACGCCGCCCAGTGGAGAAAGGAAGAAAACTTTGAGGAATTATGACTTCGCCTTCTTCGTTCAGAAAGCGACCTGTGTGTTCAGAGAGACATATCATATTAGCCGTTGGTGGCGTGGCATATTGTTTGCAAACGTTATTATCTAGCAACAAGTTTATATAATGGTTACAGTATGAAGCTGAAATATACAACTACTGTGGAATACTTTATTTTCGCTGTAATAAATTTTCGCTGAAAAGGCTTTTTGGGCGTTTTGTATGAAATTTATTTTCACTGATTTTGATGAGTTTAATGTGAAATATAGGAAGAAAAGTATATTCGCTGGATTTTATTTTCACGGAATCAGCCCTTCATAAATTCCAAGCGAAAATAAAGTATTCTACAATAACTAAGACCGATACATGTTATCATAGTAAACGAGTTTTACTATTTGCCAATAAAAGAGATAGTCCAATCACTGTTTGTTTTGTTACATTTGCACTGAAGCACATCCGATAAGAACTGAAAAGACAAAACTGTCTGTCGTGTCACGCGATTTAGACCACAGATAGCAAGGCTGAGACACTCGCGTGAAATTATTTGTCGGAAGGGCGCTGTTTCAAATGGCGCCAGCACACGACAACTGTGTGACATGTTTTGATAAATTTTACAAGCATCCACCACAGACACTCTCTCTCACCTGGCTCAAATTTGAACGGTTCCTTCCAGTACTTGGGATCATGGTGTACCCACCATAGATTACACATGACCATAGTATCTTTGGGAATATTATAACCACGATATCTAAAACGAAAAATACATCGTAACTTCAACAATTTATACAATATTAAAGCTGGGGAGTCGTCACCTGCGCATGTGTCAGATGGCCATAGCGCGTCATTGTTTACATACAAGCGTCTACCCATGAGCCTTTGCGTTTTTTAGCCTATTCAAGCATCGTGTACCCTTAAAGAGCGGTAGTCAACGCACCACGCATGCGCGAGATATATGGGTCTCATATAAACAAAGATTTTCAGGTGATTAGAAGGTATCGAAGGGGTCACCGGCGGTAATTAGTGCAAGTCGAGCCCAGGTCAAACCTCATACTTTCCATTAGAAGAGCGCATTGGATTGTGGGAAAATCAATGTTGCAAATGCGCAGCGCGACGACTGCCGCCCTTTAAGGTAAGCCATATGTATCCTGGGGCGCATGCAGTTATTTAGCCTGTACACCAAATCATGTAATTTGTAATTGAGCAGAGAGTGGTATGTGAAGTTTGGGCCCCGTTAGGATAAAACACCCATATCTAACTGGAAGCCGGGGGTCTTGCGCAATTAGCTTCTAAAATTGCACAGTTTATCTTCCATCCCCCCTCCCCGTGTTTCCGGGTACATTTTTACTAGGGAATCTCACCCCCTTCATAGCAATAATGTTACGTCAGGTACTGTCATACTGTTCGACTCACGTGGTGTCATGCGTAGTGCAGTGAGGCGCGTTCATCGAAGACACGGAACTGCATCTCAAAATCTCCAAAATTGTAGCGTTCAGGTATGGTAGACAGGGCTTATCAGTCCATCGTAGAGGGCGATCTCCTATGATCCGCTTCATCTCCAAGCAAATATTCTCTTGTACCTATGGTGACACAGAAATATGCGTGTGAGGGAAATTTAAGCTACCATCGATTTTCGACGAAATTGACAAACTACACAACACACGAAACCAGTAAACATTACCATTAAAGGTTTGGTTTCAAAACGTGTAGTTTTCTGCAAATAAATGACATTCTGTATAATCTAATCAAAAACACATTGGAAGTGTGTGCGAAAAAAATGATTGTGATATTTATTCTCCACTAGGTCAAATATATGATTAAATAACACTGAACAATACAGTAAATCAGCAAGAAATATAGAAAAAATGACAATACATAATATGTATCTACTTATTGTCACGTGGCCATGATTTAAATATATTAATCCGGTGATACAAAGTTCGTCTTTTTATGTGCTCTATCGAAACATTCACGTAATATACATGAAACTCACTTCCGGGTTGCTGATTAAATATGCATATGCCCACTTCAACGTCTCGGAGATCGTCTGAAATCCCCCGGTGAATATCTCCCACATCGTCATCAAGATCATGTCTTCATTCAGCGTGTTGCCGTTGTCGTCACAGTCTTGCATGGCCTTCAAAAGAGAGTCAGTGATATCCCGGATGTTGTTTGGGTCAAAGGTCGAAAGATGATCGCGGAATTTTTTCTGGAAAAGTTCGTCTCTTCTTGTCACTAGCTCCTCAATGAGTCGCAGTCTCTTGTTTGGAAACATCTGTGGATGTGAAAAACATGTCAACTTTTAGAGATGACTTATTACATCCCAGTAAACCCAGTTTAAAGTTGGGGAGTCGTCACTTGCGCATGCGCCAAATGGCCATAGCATGTCATTGTTTACAAACAAGCATCTGCCCATGCGCCTTTGCGTTTTTAGCTTGTGTTGTTATCGTCGCTTGGGACTCAAATCCCGCGCGTGCGCAGATGACAACCTTTTCGCTTTAAGTAATATCAAAATAGGGGACTTCACCCGTTGGTATTACAGGTACGACTTTCTTTTTGTATATTACGTCACCAGGATGTCATCATGAGATATGGCGTAAAATTGTTTTAAAAAACGGTGAAAGTGGATTGGACATGTGTTACGCATGGAAAGGAACGACATACCAAGAATCGCTTTAACATGGGCACCAGAGGGCAAAAGGAATGTGGGAAGAGAATTGGAGAAGAACTGTGAAAAAAGAAAGATATCAACGGGGATACAAGACTTGGGCAGAGGCTGGAGTAGCGTCTCAAGACAGAAAAGCTTCAACAGTTTGTGGGAAGTTGACTGAGTTTTTGGAACTTTTAATATCCATTGTTTTAAAACTAACGTTGTATATACCCACAGTGAACAGCTACTTTTGTTTTTTATTTTAGTTTTTTAATGTTTTTGATACTTGTGTGTTATGTAAACTTTGTAACATATTGTTTTTTTATTGCGATGAGCCCCCATGAAAATTATTCTAACAGAATAACTATGCCGCGCGGTAAAACTGTATAAATAAATAAGTTGCTCGTGAATTATTAATTTATGCAAAAAAGGCGATTTTTCCAGCAAATTACAACAAGATCATAAATACGTACGACGTGATATCACGGGGTTTGTCGTGTAATGATATGTGAATAATGAAAAATGCAAGTTGGTGACGTCACGTGGATATTCCACTCATCCGATTAATTATATTCTCTATAGTTATGATAAGGTTTTACTATCTAACAAAATACCCTTCGAAATACCAACAATTCATATTTTCAATAGATACATGATATTGAAAAACAAAAGATTGATCCATCTGAAGCTGGATTAAATACGCGTGAGAAATACTCCATTTCCGGAATTTACAATGCTGATACTTCCTTAAACCAGTCGTCTCAGAAATTCAGAGATTTCAACAAAATCGGAACAAGCTTATTGGAATAAATACCTCCACCAATCAAGAAAGTTAATTTAATACAGCGACTACGACAAATCTTCAGGGATATGATGTCCGACCCGAGATAATTTGTCGAGACTCGCTCGCTTAAAACTTAAAACCAACCACCCGACTCGGAACTATCTATAGATATACTAGTAGTTGTTTTTGTTTTTTGCGAAAATTCGCACACCTTTTGAGACAGTCAGTGAGACCTGTAAACTATTTTGCAATAGGAAAAAGAGTCATGCCCCTATTTTTAAACGGAATATCGTATAAAGGTCCCCATAGTACACATGACGTGTGCGTGTGCAATAACCTTTCGGTATGTATGGTCATTGCACTCATATAATTTGCGTACTGATGCAACTTTGACTCCATTGTGCATGACAGTGATTAACTAGGAAGTAATAGGGTATTACATGTACAATAATATTAACAGGCCGTGGGACTTTGAAGGCAGGAAATGTTGACGGGACTACAGTCCTGTATATAAAGTACTATTACAATACATATGTAGTCTGACATTTCGAATTTCCGAGACTATTGAAGTACACGTTTTGTCACGGTGCGGGCCTAACTCGATCACCCGTCACGAGTTTAAACTAACGCGGTGAAACTGACATTTTAATGAGTATAGAAATCAACTGTCCGATTTCGATGTGGGCGTAGGACGCTTACAAAGCCGCAATTGTATCCCATGGCGGATAGTTAGCAATGTTAAATACGGCGTTGCAACTAACTTGAATTTTACCGCGTGTGACATTTTAAAAAGTTAAGTTTTCTTATTTTTACAGTCGAAAATATCCGTTCAATTTTTCTTCATTCATTCATTCATTCATTCATTCATTCATTCATTCATTCATTCATTCATTCATTCATTCATTCAATTTTTAATTCGAATGAATATTCGCTTATTAATCCAGACTTTCAGTCGCTCATGATTCATTCCTTAATTGATTAATTGCATTCGTTGCATTGGGTTCGAATTGATTAATTGATCGATTGGCTCGTCCTATAATCTGAGAAAATATAACTTATTTTTACAGTATTACTTTCTTGTAATACTATAATTTCTTTCTTTCTTGTTGCGTCGAATCATGTATCGTGTCGCTCGCCGCGATTACAGGATAGCGGTACGAAGACTGTCGCCACGGTGTGTACTTAGCGTATTAAGTACTTAAATCTACTTACAACAATACGTACGCATTTAAAATAGAGTTAGAACGTTTGACATTTACTAACCAATTATATACTAGGATCAGTTAAAGTCGCATACGTTTCCATGTATAGAAATGTAACGCAACTAAAGTATATGCTACCAAACTATCAATCAAAATAGCTTGCGTTTTCCTTACTCGAACTCCCACGCACCACCACTACAATACCACGGGAGTGTGGACTTTGATTGCGATATCAGCCACCTCGTTTTTCCGTTCTATCGTCTTCTCTTTCACGCACCGGCTTACGACCTTTCAGTAATTGGGCACATCAAGTGTAACAAGATAGTTAATATCAAGTAGGTTCTATGTGCACGTTATACGGGTTTCCTACACGTAGAGCACAAAGGAAATAACGAGCCATCCGCCGAAATCCTATCTTTTGACAATTGTTCACCTTGTGGCGGCGGATCGGTATGATGGGCCTTCGAACCAAATTAGCATGTTTGGAAAATGTCATATTCGCGGTGATTAAATGTTTCAAACCTTAGGCAATATTTTCGACTAGGTTACTATCACGGGGAAAATTCTTCTCCTCTAGGGTTCTCCACACGTGTCAGGGGGGGGATCTCGTCTCATCTCTCTATCGCGTCCCCTTGAGGTACGGGATCGGGAAAGTCACTTAAACCTTACAGTCAAATAGACACACACAACGAAATACGTTTCAACTCTCGTCTTAGTCGGTCAGTCGAGTACTCTGTAAGACACAGCGCCCTGGGGAAAAGTCCCCAAGACTATCGCAAGGCTGACCCAAGACTCTCTCTAGACTGCGTCAAGACTCGCCCCAAGATTCTCCAGGACTTTTCAAGAGTGCCTCTGTCCTCGTGTACTCCCCAAGACCAACTAAAACAACTTTATTCATTTTCAAAACTCTAACCAATTACAAAACAGTACTAAGACTCTAAGGCGTGGCCTTCACACGTTCAACTAATCACACTAAGTACTGAACACGTCATATATTTTGATTAATCGTTCACTACATTAATAACTACGAATACCAACTGTCAGAAATAGTAGTCCGAATAGCGACGGTTATCTCGTAATTAGTTCCAAATCACTGAGCCAAGTTCCGTCCAAAACTTCACATGGCCTAAACGGTGCCAGACATAACACAGCAATTCGTTAATTAAGTCGATTATCAGATACGCAAAAACAATTTCATCATATTACACATATACTATGTGAGTCACGTAAGAAAGTCATACATCGGGCGTACGTGGGACATAACTGTTTTAGAACAGGTGACACAGTCTATTATTTGAAAGCCGTATATCCTCAATTATCGATGGAATTATTTAAATGCTAGTATTAAATTACCCCAGCCGAAGTTATGCTGTCATATTGCGAACAAAAACAGCCCGAGTGAATGCACAGTCACTAGTATACAGAGTGGCGTTTAATACGAGAGCCATCGCTAACGTCACCCTTTATACAAACATTTAAATCGGAAATTTGATAAATCAACAAACAATCGCTAGTATCACATTTAATAATTATGTTTCACGGGAAAACAATACAAAATTGGATATACTTTACCGCTTACGTTAATAATGAACCACGTCATACGAACGCTGCCCTGACGTCATCATTTCAAAGGTCGCGCAGGTTGATTGGTTTATGACGGATGTAATACAATAGGCGCTATTGGTTAAACAGTAGATGACGTGTCGTAAGTGTGCGGATCTAAGAGATGTTTGAGAATCTTCGGCATATGACTGCCGTGCACCCGGTTCAACGCCACGTAGCTGAGTATCGGTGCGTAAGTTTGAGATACATCGTGTGTACTCGCTTCTGTGTCAACATTATTAATCTCGGTATCAACATCTCCTAATTGCTTTTTCCTGATCGCAACTACATGAACTCTTATATTGCTTATCTCCCGGTGATTGGCGGTTAACGAGTTCTGTTCGATTCACACAGATAACTGCTTCATAACACGCCGTCGCGACTGCTTTACACACAGGTAATACCGCTTTTAGCCTCCCTGTTACATATTTCATAACATCTGCAAATTATCAGTGATCGGACTATGCATCACCCAAATTGTTAAAAGCAAAACCAATCTCCCAAAGTAATATATTTAAGGTAAAAACTCCCTAGCTTATTTATAGTCGATGACTTGAGCAACAACTGCTGTGTGACTGTGTTGTTTACGTACCTCATCACGAACAGACTAATTACCGTTCTTAACTACGGCCGTAACCTAGGGGTTACAGGGTTCTTTTTACAATCAAAATCCAATGGGACGGGATGAGATCCGTCCTAAATTCCAGGCGCTTAAGCGGTCTGTACACATTTCAAAATTACGAACAAATGATGAGAATTGAAAAATCAAAAAACAAATACCAATTCAGCCTCGACTCAGAAGGAAGGGATGTATTGCTACGAGCGAAGTCGTTTTTTTTTTTTCATAATGCCCCTCTCCTATAATATTATTGAGACCAAAAGCTAGAATAATTCTAAACCACCAATGCCCCCAGACAAAAAACAAAACCCTCGGACAACTCCATCACAATCTGTAGTTCTTTTTTCGCGAAAGTCAGCGTGACATTTTCACTTTTTGAAGATTTCTAGGGTTCGAACAAATTTGAACACTTGTTGGTAGTTATAATAATAAGGACGCACTTATGTTGCTTAATCAGTGGAATTGATAGATTAAGGCAATTTGTGGTTGTCTTTTTTTTTTATTTCCTGTTATTCGAAATGTTCTATTATTGAAAGGTGCATAACCTAATTTTAAAAATGTTGTTCAATATTCCATGTTCATATGCACATTGGACTATGATTTATCGTAAACGAAAACATTCGTTTCAAAGTACAATCATGCGCATGCGCAATCCAAATCATACCACAGCCGGTGTCTTTGTCAACATGCACTACAAAAAATGAATAAAATATATATTAATAACATATTTACCTTTAAAATCGGGAAAATGTCGACTGGGTCGCCAGGCGTCAGCAGATCAATGAACTGTCGGTTGTCGCGCAGAATAGTCTGAAACTCCGGGTCGTTAAGTTGATATCTTTGATTGAAGGTCATGTGACAAATCACATTAATTACACTGAGGCAGAGATCTTGGCTGATGTCTACAGGTGTGTCCTTTTTCGTTTTCAGTACTTCGACAAGGTGTGCAATCTCCTCCAAGATCTTTTCTTCTGTCGACGTAGCTGTGTCATGTTTGTTGTTTGAGTGTATGTTGGTATGTATAGCGATCGAGGCTAGTTTTTTGTGGTAGGACCATTCGGGGCTGATGTTACCGAAGGCTATGCCACAGTTGTTTCGCGAGAACTGGCTAATGGAATAAACGTATGGTCTACCCGAAAAGCATGGCGCTTGTTTGACAAAAGCGTCGCGTATAGCCACGTGGTCGCATAAGACTATAGCTACTTGAGGACCTAACTGTAACGAGAACACGTTGCCATACTTGTCGGAAAGACCCTTCATTATTTTCCAGGGCGGTTCGCTACGAAGCAGTACAAGCAGATTGCCTACGATTGGTAGCGCTACGGGGCCAGGCGGTAAAGGTTTGTTCCAGAATGCATGCGCCCGACGAGCCAGATACAACACGACGCATGCGAATGCGATTATGAACAGAACTACTGACATCGCGACAGGCGCTTCATAAACCAATGATGACAAAAGTTGTAGTATAGAGTAAGGCGCAAACTGGCTTGTTCTCTCTGAGTGAGACCCTGTTTATATACCCACAGAAGTTCTTCGCAGAGTTCTCCGTCGCTCATTTTGATTGGGTCATTGTTCATACATGATTAGCATAACAAAGAAAGGCAGGCTGTTTTCATGGAAACCCTAGTATTGTTTACTCAAAGCGAAGAGCTAATTGGCTCAAACACCAAGTGAGTGTCAATACCGTACGAGGGCGTTAACTACTACACACTGTGAGGACGTGCAATTTTAGTTTATCCCAATGCCCTACGATGATGGCACATTCTTCCGCCGACGCGCCTGATTAACGACGTTGCCTTTTCAATTGAATAGTACAAATATTGAGTAGGCGACAGTTTCCATAGGCTAATAACACCCTAATACTCTGTCCTTTGTGTGTGTTCACAGCGCACATACGTCAACTAAGGGGAATGTTTTACTCGACATTTTATAAGATGTACTGTTTGAAAAAAAAATCATCGGGCGGAAAAACATATATCAGGATGGTGTACGTGTACGCGCATGCGTAAGCCCCGGGGATCTATGGTGCAAAGTAGATTGGATCCTCATTTATTATCCTCCGTGTAAAAAATGACCATTACTGGAAACAAGTTTGATTGCATGTGAGGCAAAGTTTAAATTTTAAATACCTTTATTTTTAAGTAATTAACTCGTAACTTAAGTACTGAAAATAACTCGTTTGCTTCAGTTAGCATCGTAGGAAGAAAGGTCGATCACTCAGTATCTTGTGCCGAGACACGCGAAGTTGAACTTTGGATAATGCCGTCTCATCGGTTGCCGTAAAAAAAAAACTGCCAGTCCCTGGACGTAGCATTCTTTAGTTATTCAGTTTTAGCTGAAAAGCAAATGCAGATATGGAAAAGATAATGAGATGTGATGTCTACAGGCCTACAACGCTACATACATACGGGCAATTCGCAGGCCATAGCCATAATTGGAAGTGTAATATAACGGTGTTTTCAATATTCGGAAAAGTGAAAAATAGCGAAATAGGTCGTCAAACAATTCATTCACCAGAATGTCCCCATCTCTGCCATTTTGTGGTTAGTATACTGGTTTGATACACAGATATTGTATTGTTCTTATAGCGAAAAATCGCACCGTAGTCGGATGATTGGAGCTGCAGTGGACAGGCGCGACGTCGAATATTATGACGAAAATGCAACAAGAAAAACAGGAAATAATCCAGGATTATATTTTACCTTGAAAAGAAGCACAGTTTATCAGTGATATAGCAAAAGAGTTGTCACAATGGGGGTACCGTCAGCACGTGGCTACGGCTTGGGTGAAATGTGACTTGGTGGTGATTACTAGTATAATATCAGTAAACAGTGTTGAACTCGTTTTGCCTAAGGTTAACGTCATTTTGTTGTTTATTCGCTGTGTTTACTAATGCATTACATATTTAATCTCCATAACCCCAAATCAGTCAAGTGAACTATATCAGATATAGACTTGCTAGCACTCTGTTGTGATTCCGAAAAAAGGTACAGTGACCTAGTTCTTATAACCACCCGACTGGAAACAACAGGACTTGTATGATTTGATTGAGCATGACTATCGGACAGCGAATACGACAGTGCTAATGAAAAACAAGCGACTTATTAAGTTTGTGGAGATTTGGGGGTTATGTATTCAAAAACAGTTTTTTTTTCAATCTTATCCATAAACGAAATTTAGGCAGAATCAGATATATATTTCTCAAATGTTTGGCGAAAATTTGTATTTAAAAGCATTTCAAATTAAATACGCATATACAGACATAAAATATATATATACGCCCTCGAAACATATGACGAGCGAGGAGGGCGTCTATTGTACGTACAATTTCGATTATTATGTATAATCACGGAGCTATTGTTCCATGGCAACATGAAATAGCATTCATGTTAAAGTGACGTATTTTGAGAAACGTATTACTAATAAACGTAATATTTTTCAAAAAATCGCCTTTTTAGAACAATTCCATAGAACACAAAATTTGGTAAAAGCATTATAATACTAACAACCTTTTTTAAAGTGAATGTTAAATGCAAAATTCTTGGTATTTACGTTTATGAGTAGGCTACCACCCCTTAAAGACAAAAGTACAATGCAGTGTGAGTTTTGAGAATAACGTGGATATTTTAATCTCTTTCCTCAAAACTGTGAAATATAAATGATTTCATATGACTGTGCGTACCACTATTACATTTTAAAAGGTCAATGTAATCAACATGAGCAAACTGGTATTTTATTATAAGTTGGCCAAACAATTTGACAGGAAATGACACTAATCAAGATACGAATCTCCATATCCAATAATCAGTAAAGTGAACTAATTTTAGGTACACGCACTTTAAAGTACAGTGACCCGACTGGTGACTGATATAAAGAAGGGCAAGGCACTTTTAAGCTGTTGAACAACATGATGCATATTGACGTTCGTGTTGTATATTTGTATTGTTTACAACAAACTCTGGTTACTCTCTGCTTACACATTCAGTCTTAAAACTGTTAGTGTTAGTGAAACAGTGCTTAAAACTAAACTGGGGAGTCGTCATCTGCGCATGCGCCAGATGGCCATAGCCTTCTCTGGTTACTAGTACTATTGTTATATGACACAATAAAATACGCTGACATCCCATTTCCTACTATATAAAACAACGGTCAGTATTACAAAAAAGCCTTTAGTCATAGATTTGAGTTTGTGTATGAACAATGTTTTTCTATATTACTAGTATGAGTGGCTTTCGTGGTGAGTGGCTTTTGCAGAGAATAGCTTCCGCTGTCACTGGTCTTTTCTATTAGGAGTTGAGAAATAATGTTTTACGTGTCATGAACAATTGGTGTTAATATAGGAATACCATTCTTTGGAACTATTAATTTGTTCTTGCGATTTGTGCAGTTGTTCTGGCAGGAGTTCCTAAATAAGACCCATGCTCTAATATTGCCTATATTTTCTTACTTCGACCAAGAAGCATCTATAGAATGGATTTTCACCACGCGTTCTTGTTATACTGCTTAGTGAAATACTATAAGTAATGATCTTATTGGTGTTGCAGTAGGAGAGTTGAATATTGATTATTGAAATTAATAATCCCCCAGTACAATTTTCCATTAAAGATGCGAAATTATAGTATGAAACAAATGTATATCTCTCCTTATTCTCAGCAATGAAATAAAGAAGTATATATATATATACTTCTATATTACTTATTACTAATGAATTTCAATACAACTAATTAAAACTGAAAAATTAAATTGCAATATAAAGTTTTCCATCAGTGATATTTCTGTGATGTGAATTTTCCTAAGACATTTGCTAGAATATGTAAACAATGAGAAATTGAGAAATATGGCAAGGTGTTCCGGTTTGATTGAAACGTTCACGGCTGTAATAGCTGCGCCCCTAGCGAAATATGATAGATATAAATAAGTCTTGTCATGAGCAGAATTCTTGGCCATATGCCAAATAAATCAGTGAAATAGCAATATTGCGTGTTTATCTTTATACAATGTAAAGTTATTGCAAAGAATTTTTTTTAAATTGAAATTTGCTACCAGGTCTTCACGATGGATAAACTGAGTTGGATAGTTATGAAAGTAACAACATATACACATTTAGTTTTGAATCAAGTTGTCTAAACCTACTAGAGGAATCAGGTGTCAAGGTAATTACAGGCAAAATGAAATGAAAGTCTATATTGCATGTAAATAAATGTGACAGATCCATATCTCAACACGTGGTTTTAAAGATAAAATGGAATGGATGACAAATTTATGAAGATATATATGTTGATTGTTTTAAATGACAAAACATGGGATACTTGGAGGTTAATTGTAGTAAGAATGTTGCCGTAGTTTAAAGTGCGGTGGTCGTCGCACCGCGTCCTGTTCAGCATGGGACTCATAGCGACGTACACAACATGTGTAAAATACATTGTTTATTTACATGAAATTCGAACACGCGCTGAGATATGTAATTAGATGCATAAATGATACACACTAAATGAGAAATGCAAGGAAGACGTAAGAAGTTAAAACGTACACGTGGAATTAGTTTTATGGAGAAGATTGATCATGTTTTTTTTTTTTTTTCTTTTTAAGAGATAACAATTAGCATGTTCCAGACTTTTTAGGATTAAATTTTGCGAGGTCCAATAAATCCAAAAAATTATCTGTAGCTGAATTTGGAGAAGTACCCGAAGTCTCTGATTGATGGAATTCACATAGTGACTGGTAGCTGAGTTTTGATAACTATCAGATTTGTTTGAATTTTCTGATTAGTTTAGATCAGAGTGATTTCTCTTATCGAATTTTGACTTTTTTGAAGAGAAATGTGGTTGTTTTTAAGTTGTCTGATTGAGGAAAATCGAGTTTGTTTGCACTGTTGCACATTGCATCATATAACCGAACGAACGAAATATAAACAAATCAACGAATTCAGGAAATTTCCTGAAATAGTTTCGCAGTACTACTTTTGCCACAGGCAACCTTCAATTTTGTGGTCAATCACCTCACTAACGTGACGCACGGCCATTTTTCTGCGGTTGTTTCATTTAAAACCGAAATACAAAAAGTGGAAAAAAACGTATGTGACATCCGATCTATTTATCAATGTCAGACTTCAGTAAAAACGTAAATACGAATCATTTTATCGCGAACTATGTTTTGCAAGGTAATGTTATTGTAGTTAAATGACGCACGTGATACACTAAAACTTGAAATATTCTGTTAACGTATATAGTTGAAAAATAAACATTAAAGACTAATTTCACTGAAAGGGGTTTTCTAACATTTCTGTTCATCTTGTATCCTGGTGAATATTTCAATATTATTTCTGGCTACTATTTCTGGATTTTCCGCGTCTAACAGCAACAGAACACAAAGGTTCTAGTAAGTTTATAAAGTTAGTCATTAATTTACAATCTAATGCTTTA